ATTTGCCTCATAAAGGGACACTGTATCTCCTTTTTAAATTTATTAAACATCTAGATATAAATATGCATAAAAATATCTAAATCATACAACAACTTTTAAAGAAGAAAACCTAAGAATCTAAAACCCACTGCCTAGCTCAGGGTTTAGCAAAATATGTGAAAAGGCCAAGCACAGCCTGCTGCCTGTTTTTGTATATAAAAGTTTTGTTGCACATGGCCACATGCATTAGTTTACTTATTGTAAACTATAAGGACAGAGTCCAGTAGTTTGCAACAAAGTACCATATTGCCTACAAAGACATCATTATAATTGGATCCTTTAGAGATCATTATTGATCTCTAATCCAGTTTAGAGAGACTTTTTTTCTGTATTTTAGGGAAGGGTCTACAGGGTGTTCAGGATCTCACTACTAGATCTGACTTATAGTGATCTGCCTGTTTACAGCCTCCCAAGAGCTGAGATTACAGGCGTGGGCCACCATGCCCAGTCTCAATGGCCATCTCAGAGAGACCCGGGGGCGGGGCCGGGGATCGAACCCACAGCCCCTGTGGCTGCTTGCAGGCACTTTAATCCGCTGAGCTATTTGGCTGGTCGGACAGACTGTCTTAAAGTAAATTTTATTTTATAAAATTATTTTTTTGAGAAAGAAATAGCAATGGGACAACTTCAAAACAGGTTAGTAGGACAGTTACAATAATTAATACATTGCACATTGTTGTCTTCATTGTAGTTATTTATAGTACAAGATTCAGACATGATATCTTGTCTAAACACTATTAGTACAAATATTTCTTCTTATTGAACTAAGAGAAAGTATCTGTATATCCTGATTATTTTGTATATACATATATATATATATATATAATTTATTTATTTTACTACAAAATGGTCCTTCATTTATATCCCCCTTTTTTGCTTAGTCTTGTCAGAGATGGGTATTCCATTGCCATTCAGATTTTAAAAGGGACTGAGGATGTAGCTCATTGTGAAGGCCTTGTATTCACCCCACATTCCTGCCAAAACAAACAAACAAACAAGCAAACAACACAATGCAACATGTTTGGTGCCCCTTATATGTCTATACCCAACTAAACTCTTTTTCCTAGGTGAAAACCACTCCTTAAATTTTGTATTAATCCTTTTTCTTTTTTACAGTTTGTGTGTGTGTTGTTTTATCACTTATAACTTGGTTTCTATATAAACAAAATGACACTGTGTATTTCTCTCTAACTTGTTTCTTTCACTGAGCATTCTGTGTTAGGACAAAAATCAGACGATAGGGCAGTTAATTTTCACTGATACCACATTCCACAATATGACTATACCACAGTACAGTAATGTGAGTTATGACTAAGGTCTAAAATATGTTGCTCAGAACATTCTTTTACATGGATGTCCAGTGTGTGTACACATGAAGTCCCATTAATGAATGGAAATGCTGACTAGCAAGTATGTGCACACAGTTTTGTCCCACATATGTTACTAACAGTGCACAGAATTCTTTAGTATTTCTATAGTATATTTATCTTTCTTTGTCAGACACCTAGTTTTTGCGATCTACTGCCTTTATTTCTGTTTTGTATTTTGTTTGGTGGTACTCAGGGTCACTGAGCTCTATTCTCAGCCCTTTTTATTTATTTAGTTTTTCTGAGGCAGGTTCTCCCTAGGCATTGCTAGACTGGGTTCAAATGTGTGCACCTCCTGCCTCAGCCTCCCAGAATGCTGAGATTACAGTTGCGTACCCACTGTTTAACACACTGTAGTTTTGAGTATGCTTCTCTATAATTAATATTGCTGAACATGTTTCCAAATTAGTTATTTAGCTATTTGTAGGGGAGGCTTATTTATTTTTATTTGTATTTTTTTAGGGGAAGTTTATTTTTTGTTTTTGGTGTTGAGGGCCGATCCCAGGGCTTCCAGCTTGCTAGGCAAGCATTCTATTGCTGAGCCAAATCCCCTGCCCCTATTCGGCTATTTGTATGTCTTGTATGAAATGCCCACTTCACATGTTTTGCCAATTTTTTCTATTGATAAGTCTTCTGCTTTCTAAATGTGGTATTTTACATATTTCTGACACTATGCTCTGTTTTATATACGGTAAACATCTTGTCTCCGCTTTTGATTTGTCTTTCTAGTCTCTCAATGATATTTTCAATAAATACAAGCTTACAATTTTAATTTTAATCTTTTCCTTTATACAATGTATAACTTGAGTGGTCTTTAAATAAACTCTTCCTTACTCCAAGATCATAGAAAACTATTTACTTATTCTTATCTTCTAAAAACGTTAAAATTTTGCCTTTCACATTTGATGAGTAAGAGAGAAATTATCTTTTTTATATACATAGTCAATGCCTGAAATGTCCATCCATTTCCCGCAGACTGTCCAGGGCCTCCTCTACTGCTGAAGAGCCCACACAAATACATCCTGGTTCGGGGCACTCTATCAGTCTGCCTATCTCTGCTGTACTAGCAAGAACTTACTTATTGCAGCTTTAAGTTTTGCTGTCTGGTAAAGCAAGCTTCCATAATCTATTCTTTTTATTGAAGTATGCCTTTTCTTTGACCGTTCAATATTAATTTTATAATCAGCAAGACAGGTACTATGTAAAATCTTGCTGAGATTGTGAATGGAATCATATTTCATCTACAGATCAGTTTGGAATGAAGTGACATATTCAAGATATCAAGTCTACTATTCATAAACATGGTCAGGTTTGCTCTGCATTTATTGGTGACTATGTGAGTTTTCCCTTTTAATAATGAGTAAGGTAGATTAATAAATCTTCTAGTCTCATCAATCTTACATTTCTAAAATCAAGTCAACTTAGCCATTAAGAATTTTTAAATACATTTGCTTACTATTCTGCCTACAATTTTTATGACTACATTCATTAGCGACGTTGATAATTTTTCTTGTATTGTCGTCTCTTTTTGTGACTGAACGTCTTGGCTGATAAGCATTGTAAGAAAACCTGGGCTATACTCCCTTTTTGTCTAGGCTCAAGTTTGTTTAGGATTCAAATGATCTATGCCTTAATGTGCTGGACAAACATAACTCTAAAACTGCGATGGCTGTGTTTTATCTGGAAAATACTTTTACGTGTTCATTTAATTTCTATAAATTAAATGACACTCAATTTTTCTATTTCTTTCTGAATCAATTATGGTAAATTATATTTTTCGGTCCATTATGCTTTAGTTTTCAAATACTGGCATAAAGTTGATAACAGTATTCTCTTACTATTTTAAAAATCTATGCTGCATCTGTTCTTTGTGTTTGTAATTTATTCCTATGGTATAGTTCATTTTAGTTTTGGAAAGGAGCAGAAATAACTTTATATGTTTAACCCACTGCATTTATGTGATCAAAATTACACAGCAGAAACACTCTTGAAATCTATAAGTGGGAAGTAATAACAGAACTCATCAACGCTATCATAGTGAAGACTGAATGAGTTAATATATGCACAGTGCTTGGGATAGTGACTGGCATACATTAAGTGCCCAAAACTATATGATTAAATTATAGGAAATTCACTTCTATCAAGATGATGTCCCTTTTCATTTGGTTGCAGTTTAAAGGCCCAAAATAACAGCTAGATTCTTTCCAAGGTTCCTTCATTCTATGCAAGCTGTAGAGAGAGGCAATGATAAACCTGGTTAGGAATATTCTCACTCTGAAGCTCAGCCTGAGTGTCTGTACCCTGATTATAAACTGCACTTATATAAAATGCAATGTTAAACAAAGCTAGCTGATTGTGTATGAGCTGGGATTTTTTTTTTGGGGGGGGCAGTACTGAGAATTGAGCTCAGGACCTTGTGCTTACCAGGCAGGTGCTGTACTGCTGAGCTATATCCCTGGCCCAAGAGCTGTTTTTACCTTGATGATAAAGGCCATACTTTTTATTACCTGTTGTTTGTGAGACCTGCACATACTACGTACTACAAAAGGAAAAAAGGATTCTGTGAGTTCTTGACAATTAGTATTCAAGAAACAAAACAATGAAACAATGGTGAAAACTGTAAAGAAAATTTTAATACTTTCATGAAGGTTTCAATATTAGGTGCCTTTAATTCATGGGTAAACATGTAACTATTTTACCCACAGGGCCTTTATTAGGAAAGCCTCCAGTATACACAGATTTCTCCTCTCTTTTTAACAAAGTGATGTGTTTTAGGCCTTCTATTCCCAGGCAAATTTTGCACATAATTTTTGTAACAAATCCTGCAAAACAGATATTGAATTACTCAGGAAAAAAATATATTGAAGTCCATGATTCATTTTGAAATGCACCAGAAAATAGGATTAAAAAGAGAAAAATGGGTGTGGAATCTCTGAGTATAGCTCAATAGTAGCATTTTTGATCTACTTTACTAGCAAAATTAAAGTATATGCATGAGCACAGGCGCACACACACGCACGCATGCAACACATACACACACACACACACACACACACACACTGTCTCTTCCGGTAAGGCTGCAGCAAAAGTGGTAGAGTCTATACATCTAACAACATTCACAGGCACAGCCTGTTGGGGAAGCAACCTGGCAGCCAAGTCATGGCGTTTATCAGGTTCTTTGATTTGGTGGTCCTACTGCTTCGTTTATGAACTGCATTAGGCAAAAGAAGCTGAAAGATGTTCACTGAAGTATTAACTATCAGAGAACTTATCTACAGATAACCTAAAAGACCATCAAGAACAACAACAACAAAGAAACTAAAACAGTGAAAGATGACATACAAGAATAATGGAGCATTTTACAGACATTTAAAAACTGCCAATAATGAAAGTTTATATAGAAATATGTACAATATTCATAGCATATCCAAAGAAAAACTGTAATTATGAAATGATAAAAATAAATGAATATGCTGTGTTACCATATGAGGGACTGAGGCTGATTCCTTTACCCAAAATTTTCTTTCATTTTTAGATATGCCTTTTAATTAAAATTAAGTCAATGAAAAGCCCATTTCAGGATGGTCTACTCACAGTGCTGAGTTTGCTGCAGACGATGAGGATCCGACGCTCATACAGCATACTGGCATACAAATGTAACATGTTGTTTACATCCACAGCCACAAAGTATTCTGTCAGATTTCTCTAGGAGAAAGCAGAGAGCAAGGTTTGTGGCTTACTTTGCTTGTTCTTATTACAAATAGTATCTACATGAGAAAACAAAATAAGCAGCAGTTACTGGGCATGGAGGCACACACCTGTTACCCCAACACTCACTCTTGTTTAAAAAAAAATCAGGACATAAAGTTGGAAGAGACTCTTAGAGATGAGTGGTGTGAGCCATTGTGTCTGTGTGATGATTAGTTTACAACATGAAGTTATGTACAACATGGTGTTTGCTCTTCACATCAGTTCTGAAAGGTCATAATGGTGGGAAATGTGCAACCTTACAGATGAAGAAACAAAGGCTTAGAGAGATTTGCCAAGATCCAATAGTCTAAAAAGCCATGAAGACAAGATTGCTAATCAGATGTTCAGACTCCAATCTCTAGAACCTTGCCAATACACTATACAATATATCTAAGCAAAAGCCATCTCAGCATGGTGGCACATGCCTATAATCCCAACATTCTGAGCATCTAGGGCAATAGGATCATAAGTTAGAAACCACCTTGGGCAAATCAGCAAGACCAGGTCTCAAAATGCAAAGGGCTAGGAATACAGCTCAGTGCAAAGGCTCTGGGTTCAATCCCGAGTGTTATGTACACGCCCTCCCCCAGGGACCGAAGCCCTTCTGGCACAAGGCCTGCCTCTGTCCAAGAGGTCACTGTTGCCACGGCCACGTATACATCTGTCCTCCTGCTCATGTTTCCCCCTCCACAGCTCACATTCCCTAAAATGGTTTAGCCAAAATTAAAGCAATTTCAAAGATGTACAATTTGCAGGTACTTCACTCAAAAGAAGACGGGAAAAAAAACCAACCTAAAGACAAATAGCAAGTTGTGAAAAAGCAGTTTTTTAACTAGATTTTCTTCGTAACTTGGGCTTTATTCCTTTAATTAGTACTATAGATTGGTACTCTTCAGATTTCAGAAAAAAATAGAAAGTGTTCCATTTCTATAACCCTTTCTGTACCCGACTTTAATAACACACATGAATATGCTAATTTCTTGAATGTTACAGGTTTTCAATGCTGCACAATATAATTCTCTACAAACGAAAGGGGTTGGGGTGGGAAGGAGTGCTACTGCCAGGGGTTGCAGTTAATAATGATTAAGGATCTATAGCCCATAAATTGAAGTAAACCAGGTAGATTTTTACATGCAAAATAGTATAAAGTGCTTTTCAACAATATTATGGGCTGAGAATAAGAATGGGCATTTATCTTATGATTCATTATTGTCTGACTAGAGTACTCAGTTAACTATCAAGGTCTGTAAATACAGAGTAAGTGAATTACTAGCTGTACATATTGCGCAGTTACCAAGTGTCAGATACTGTGCCAGACACTTCAAACGTGTAACCTCATGCAATCCTCCCAAAACTCCAATCAGGTATTATTCTTTCCAACTTAGAAACAGAAATTAAGTCTGGGAGAGATTGTGATGAAGAGACATCTGAATTCACAGCCTATACACTTTTCCCTACACCTTGTCCTTCTTTAAAATTATTCTATATCTACCATGTGTCAGGATTTATACATACATTAACTTCACTCAATCTTGAAACTATTCCTTGAACTCAGTGTCATGATCCCTATCTAAAGAAGAGAAAATAAAAGTACTGACGAGTGATATAATTTGACAAAGGTCACACAGTGAGTGGATAAGACATGATTCAGTATGTGCTCTTCTTTTTACCACCAACTAGTAAGTGCAAATCGTATTTGAAAAAAGAAAGTCTCTGCACAGTAACAAAACAAGATCAACATATGTCTAAAGAAAGGCAGATTTATTAGTTTTGAAAATTATTGTCGCCCATTCATTGAGTACTCTTTATGTACCTGGCAATGGGTACTTTACCCGTGTTTTTTCTAATCTTTCTACAACCCCAAGATAGGCATTACCACATGTACTTTAAAGATGTGAAAACTGGGGCCAGGGAGATAGCTCAGCGGAATAAACACTTCCCTGGCAAGTGCAAGGGCCTGAGTTCAATCCCTGGTTCCGCAAAAAAAAAAAAGTGAAAACTGAGGCTCAAGGCTCAGTGGTCTTCTAAAGATCATCTAAGACAAAGGGCAGAGCCAAGTTTCAAAACCAGGTCTCCTATGTCTAAAACTCAGATTCTAACCACTGCGCCAACTTACTCTTGACACCCTCAATGAAAAACAAAACAAAACAAATATCAGGGGAGCTGAATTAGACAAGCAGTGTCTCTCTGGAAGGGTGGACTGAGGAAGGCTGAGCTAATGGTGTCAGGGTGGGGTTTGTTCCGAAGACAGTGACATGGCAGAGCTCTTCTCACAAACAAAAATACGAGGCCCTCAGCTGAGCATCTCAGTAAATGCTTAACTGCTGATGAATTACATGAATTTTTCTTTTAGGAAAGGATAGAAGTAAAAAGAAAATAGAAATGAAGAGCTTAAAGAAGGCCAGAAAGCCCATTAGCACTTTTGACAGATCCAAAGATAACTCTGAAGCCACCAAAACGTGGCCTCAAGAGTCTGCCAAGAAGCTTCACGCTGGGTAGAAATATGTTACACAGCTTGCCGTCCAAATAGGGAGACACAGCGTCAGAGACAAATCCTGTGCCTTATTTTGGTGAAAGGAAAAAAAAAAATCACAAGGGTACTTTTGTGGATGGGGAAGGGAAATGTTTCTGTAACAAAAACACCACTTGACTGAGGCAGGCCCCCCACCCCCGGTCAGACCCTGGGGGACTCAGGTGCTTGTTCCAAAGACTCTACACAGGTATGTTAAAAATATGTAACATTTAGCCAAATTCTCTCTAAACTGTCATGTACTTTTTTTGGTATTTCTCATCCCATCTGTGCTGATTACCAAGATATTTGTGTCTAAACAGAAGCTGTCTTTCTTATCTGCTTCCTCCCCTGCCTCTTTCCTTCTGGGATGCCACCCGCCGAGCAGGTGGGACTGCCAATGGCCCCAGCCCCTGGAACTTTGCTCAGCCGTGGAGAGCATGTGGGGCAGAGGGAGGCCAGGGGCACCTGCAGCCCCACATAGCCAGGGCTCGCCAGAAAGCCCTTGGGGACAGGAATCCCCCTCCCACTGGCATTAAGCACCCAGCAGCTTGAGCAGCCCAAGCCTTAACTTTAGACCTCTCCTGCCTTTTCCCACTCTCAGGCCTTTAGTTCTGCCCTTTCCGCTTCCTAGAATGCTCTTCTTCCCTGGCGATGTTCATTTACTTGTCAAGACCCAGCTTCAGGGCTGCCACCTCCTGGAAGGTTTCCTGGATTTTTCATTTGCTAAGCACTCTTTTGTGTTTCCATGGCAATTTTCCCTATCCTAAAATAACTCCATTTTAAGTATTTTTCCCATTAGACTGAGGCCCTTAGGATAAAATTACACATCATGTCATCCAGTAGTTTGATGACAGGATGAAGACAACTACTGCCCCTGTAGTGGTTGTGGCACCAACAATTAGAGGAGCACAGCCTGGCAAAGGGACAGTGTGGGGCAGCAGGGAAGATACACATTTGACTTCAGAAAACCAAGCTCCAATTTGAGTGTGGTGATCTACTACTTAGTAATAGCTTAGGGACAAAGAAGTGACACTGGGGACTGTACAGATGGGTAAATACATGGGGTGAAGGTACAGGGTAAGAGGTGGCTTTTCAAGGTAGCTATACCTATATTTATTAAAAATGTACACAAATCAGAAGTTTGTTCCTTAGGGAACTGGTGGGGCAGAGCATTGGAGCCTGAAGTAGGTACTCATGTCATATGCAAGCACTGTGTTTCTCTGAGGGGTAAGGTCAGAGTGCAGGCAAGATAAGGCCCACAGTTCCTTGATCAAGACTGCAGCCAGAACACACTGAGCTCACATTTATAAAAGATACCAGCTTTGCCATGCTCTCAGCTCTGCCCTTCTGTAAACTAAGTTGTTGACCGATCACTTCCATCCCCTATAACCAAGTAATAAACACACTTATTCAATTTCTCCTATGTGCCTACTGCAATCCTGGGAGGTGGTCCTGTAGAGATAAACTGTGAACTCCCTTAGCAACATTAGACCCAGAAAATCCAGTATAAGTTATGAAAATCCCAGGGGTCAAAGGACTCCAAGAATGGCTGAGAAGGCTCATTCTGCTGGATGGACTGAAGGAAGGCACATTTGGTCTGGGCTTCCCAAAAGGGGCTCATTTGGTGGGTAAGGTAAAAGCATATTCCAGGTGGAGTCAGTGGTGAGTGAAGCTATGAGCAGGTGCATAGAGGCAAGAGTGGACAGCATGGTAGGAGAAGTAGGGCAGGAGAGCTAAGTTGGATTCTATGGGAGCTGAAGGGTCATGACATCACCCTATCTGTGTTTCACAAACACCTTGAGACCCTGTTGGAGGGTGGGGAAGGCCAATAAGAATGGAGACAACCAATAGCTATTATCATATTCCTGGAAAGGTTAGGTTAAAATATATATACAAACAATTCAGAGCTGTAATACATATCTGTGAATTAGAGTCACAGGATTTTATAATGAATTAGACTTGGGGAGGGGGAGAAAAACAACTGCAGTGAACACCATACTTTAAGTTACAGTGCAGCACACTTGTCCTCTTGCCCAGTTCCTCAAAGAGAGGACCCATTCATGTAAGAAAGCATAAACACTTTTTCTAAAGAGACATTAATCCTGTCATACCTGGCCACTTAGTCCCTGGTCTAGTGCCCTGGACCATAATTCCACTATGGCTAAGCCAAAGTAACTATCCTCTTTATTTCCTGCCAAGTGCTCCTTAAATAATGAATCTGCTTGGAAAGGAAATCTTTGCTCAGAGCACAGCTTCCCAGTTTCTATGCTCAGGAGGTCTTGGTTTTCTTAGTGCCAATATATTTTTGGACTTAATGAATATTCCTTTTCTACTCATGGACTTCAAGTATTATTTCAGTTAAGTGCAGAGAATTTTGCTGTCCGCCTGGCCTTTATTATGCTGGGTTGAACAGCCGGGATAGGAAGCTGTCCACTACTACTAC